GCGCGGGATTCCTGGTTCAGTGCACAAACAACTGAGAAGCATGCAGCCACAATCGCTGGCTCGGAGGGCCTTCCTGATGAGCATTTTCTGCTTGCAGTGCAAGAGACGCCCTTCTGAAATTGTCACATAAACGGCTGCCGCAGATCAAACTAGTCCTTTAAAACCTGTACCCACAATCTTTTTACCACACAGGGGTCTTTAGATATGCCTTGAGTTGCACATGAGACCTGCTTTTTGTCTCGCATGATGGCCTGCAGCAGCAGGAAAAGCAGGGCTGTGCCCATGGCAGCAAAGAATACAAACATGATTAAATTGGTACACACTTGTGCGCATACTGATGCTTCACTTTCTGATCTTAGACAAGCTCTAGCTTGCACATCTAGTGCTGCTGCTACTACTAGTCAGGTGCCGGCTTTGCCGCATGATGTTTTTGTCTAGCTGACTATCAGTTGCTTCTGAGGCTTCTAAAGCCTACACATAGAGCAGCCCTTGAAAGTCATACGAAGTTGGAATGCAGTTCGCGACTGATGGCCACCCAAGAGGTGGATGCTACAACTTTGAAGGCCCATTAGTTCCTTGATCACCTACGTGGGATCTACTGAAGGAGAGTAAAGAACCTCCACAAAACGCAAAGAAGGGGCACCCACAGACTCCTAAGAGTTCAGGTTGCGGCTAGCCCGCCTGACCGTCGGATTAGGGTTGAGGGTTTAGGTGTTCGATTCTAAATTCAAGGTCCTCCTACCGCAAAATGAGGTACACAGCCCCTTGTCCACATTGGTCGGAAGGAGCTTAATGGTCTACCTATAAAATGCGGACTTTGTGTGGTGCCCTGAACAACGGTACAAGGAATCTAAACCAATAACATGGGAAATTATTTAGGCCCCTACAGTACATTCAGGAATCTTCTGTTGTGGTTTGTCAAGCACCCCCTCGAACCAGCTGAAACGCGCGTGACAGCAGCACTTGGCACACAACTTCACCTTTCAAAGTACGTTTAACCTCACTTCTGGCGTAGGTTTGGGGCCCTACAACAGATGCTTTCTTCATGGACCCTTAACCCAAAACCGGGTAATAGAAATTTCCAAATACTTAGAAACCTCCCCCTGATTTCAAGGCACGGAGGAGTCAGAAGCTCAACGCAAGTCTACATATACCACGGCCACCAGTCCCCCCAAATGCTTGAGGCTCCTTCTTGCTATTTTAGGGGTTTCAATCACACACTGACAATCTCTGAGGGAAGGCTTGAAAAACAAGAAAGATCATGATACATGCACGATGCTGAACTCTAACTGCATGCCTCCACTTACGTGTGTTCAGCGGTTTGGGGCCCCGACATGTCTCCAAACATGGGTCAGCCAGAATATATGTACATACATTTTCTATGGACCCTAGCTATGACTACACCTCAAACTGCAAAAAATGAGCACCTTGTCAGCCGTCAAACTTAGCTTGGATCGCTAAGGACTACCGCCTTGCGATTGGGAGACGGCTTCCCACACCCCCTGAAGGATCCCAAAAAAGGAACCCCTAAAAATGATCCCTTACTACAATTGGGGAACCTGGATATGGTAGGGAGGTTCCATGTTTTGGAGCCTGCACCCTAAATAGTAGCTTCCATTTTCTTTTCCATGATCCCTATAAGTTCGGTTTCGGGGGCTTAGGACACAGGTTTTAGTATGGGACCTCTCTTCATCTTCTTGGTTGGAAACCATACTCCTAATCAGAGTTCACGGTCTAGGGTTTAGTGCTTACGGCATCAGAACTGACCTCACTTACTGGTTCTTGGTAGAGCATATTGGAAATATGTTGGATGCAAATTCATAGCGTTTCCATATTATGGAAGTTATATGGACCCTAAACCCTAAACCCTAAACCCACCCTCTTCTCTGCTAGAAACAAGTAAGTTTAAAGTCTAGGGCCTAGGGCTTCGATTTCTGGATTCCCGAATTGGGGTTTGTCAAAACCCTAGGTTGGGGTTTAGGGTTTAGAGTTTGGGGTTTAGGTAGGTCACGTTTGCGGCGCAATTGGAGTCATGTGGTTCCTTTGGGAGATTGTCAATGCTCTAAGGGTTACTTTCATCTTCGAATCTTAGAACTCAGAACTACCTGGACCAAAAAAACATATGAAATGATGCACCTTTTGGACTGTTGTTCTATGTGTTTAGGGCAATTATCACCTACTTTTGGGGTTTCTACAAGTACACTCGACAATCCCTCGGAAGAGCCAAGGTTTTTGGCCTTCCTGCCGGGAACGGGCCCTGCATGCAGGGCTTGGTAGACGTACATTTGGGCCATAGTCTAGACTCTAAGTATCCCCCTTAATAGGCCCCATAGCTCTCCCCTATATAATCCCCGATACAACCCCCTTTTAAGGAGTTTTGACCCTAAACCGTAAACCCTATATAACCCCCTTTAAAGGAGTTTAGACTATAGTACATATGGATTTGCTGAAGGCTTAGGGCCGTCGGATCTTTCGCAGCTAGCCTCAACGCGAGGCTATGTTCCGGGATCCCTGAATTAGGGATTATAATCCCCCTCAAGTAAATAGAATATAATATGGGATATATGGGGATCTTATTATGATATACCCAAAGCCATATTCTATCTACTTAAGGGGACTATAGGGTTTGGGGTTTGAATTCGAAGGGTACATACATACCTACATACCTACCTACCTAGGGAGATTACGCAGGGTGTAGTATTCTGTAAGACTATTTCAGGACACTTCCATAGGAGGACCAGAATCAGCAATCATAGGTGGCAAAGTTGAGAAGTAAAAAACTTCGTGCTTAGGATACAGTACAGGTTCCCGAAAAGAAGCGAAACTGCATAGAAGGCATTAGGGGTTCTAGATGCTTTGGGGATAGCTGAAGGCTTCAGGGATTTGCAGTATTCCTCTGCGCCCAATGAGCCGGGCTTGAAACAAATGGAACCCCACATCTTCCACTGGGTTAGTGTTAAGGAACTTAGATAAAGACACCAGATTCTGGGTATATACTAAAAATGGGGTTTCCTTGCTATAGTAACTTAATGTAAGTTCCTTAGCGGCTACCCAGTCTGAGGATCTTGCTCTCCCCAGCACTGTCACAAAGCTGGCCTTTGACGAAACTCTAGCTGATAGCATTTACATTTCGCCCCCAACACCCTAAACCCTAAACTCTACAGTTCTCTTCTATCCATCATCTCAGACAACTGCTCTCGACGCACGCCACCTTTTGATCTGCAAACCTCCGCAAGTCAGAAGCCTTCGTCAAAGCGATAATTGAAAGCTGAGAGTTTAGGGTCCGGGGTATGGTTTAGTTTCTTGAAGCTCAGGTCATCCAGAAGTCTTGGCAATTTCTGAGTGCTGCTAAAATTCACTGCATACTAAGATGGAAAACCTCCACCCGGGATAGACTCTCGAGTTTGCCGGTTCATCTTATTGGGAGTCCACTCAGTGCAGGTTACTTACTGGCCGTGGAATTGCTCTGGAAAGGGAATTCAGGACTGGATCCCCACAGTCGCGGAACAGCCCCTACATAATTCCCAAAGAATAACTTCCATTTTCTTCTCCATCCTTTCATTCCCTACGAAGAATAAAAAGCAGCAAGGTTGACAAGGAAGTCCTGAGCCTGCATGCCGTAAGGCATCGAAAAGATTTTGCCTTCGGCAAATTCAACTGGCGCAGGATCCTACAAGCTTGCTTCTAGGTGAGCGAGCTTGGGAGTAGGGATTTGAGTCGATGCTAGCACTTTGCTGCCCGGGGGCTGGCTAGGCCGGAAAAACTGGAATTAGATGACGAAAATGGCAACTTGTGTCGGACAACTTCCAAACTGTTCTTCGTTCTACAAATGGACCTTCAATCTGAGCACCCGATACACCGCGCACTGCCCGGAGAGCCAGGCCACAGACCCTTTATGACGTCGACATGACTAGACTCGAGGTTTCAAGTTTAGGTCTGTAGTGTCGGCTAGCCCTAAATCACCTGCAGCCGGCAACCCTCAACCTAAGCGACCTCCCAGCCCGGAAGTGAGCTCCTCGCCTGATGCTGCTCCAGAGCAGCCAGCAATTCACTGAAAGCAAAGAGCTAAACCCTAAACCTGACTTAAATCCTGCAATCTGAAACCTATACCTGAAGCGTATCGTATGCGCAGTAGTCCTCATAGGATGCCTGCGCAGGGGAAAATCAGCGTGGGTCCACCCACTGCCGCTCTCATTAGGAGTGCCAAAGAGAACGACATGCAACACACCTGGAACGTTGATAGGACTCTAGACTCCAGACGCAACTCCTGGAGTATAGCCCGAAGTCCTTCTTGCAAACGACGGAGCAGTCTTGGGCAGACCCATCGCGTGCCATTCCGCCCCTCGCGGCTAACACCTGTATCCCCCAACAGATCTTCAGGTGTTGGGGTGCTCTTTTGTTTTTCGTCCGCGTTGGTTGTGCGTTTGTGGCTGTTGCGGCTGATGACAAGAAGTAGAACCTCAAACCTTGCGAAAGTGCTAAGCCCCTGGATGCTTTGTTCAGAAAGGGATGTGGCATGCTTAGGAAATGGGATTTAGTTGCGTGCATGTCACTTCCCAAAATCCAAGGGCTTTTATACACGTGACAGACGGATTCTGTTCATTCTCGACGTATCCCACAGCACTAATACTAGAACCTTGCCCTAGGGATCCAGATAAGTTTGGGACCCCAGCCTCTCAAACAAACTTTGGTTCCTGTACTGTTCTGGGTTTAGGATTTAGGGTTTAGGGTCTGTGGCCGCTATCTAGGACCAGCTTCTACTTGTGAACTGGAATGCCTGGCATCAAGAAGATACATTGAGATCATTAGAACCAGTTTTCAGCAACTTCCATGGTGCCTATAGTCTGAACTCCCAATATCCCCCTCAATAACCCCTACAGTAGTCCTCTATATGATCCCCGAGAGAACCCACTTTGAGTTAAGACTATAGTGTACGTAATCGGGTAGCACCAGACCCCAAAGTGCTGCTGGCGCATTCAGTGGCGAAGTCAGTGATTGCTTCACCAAGGATACAGGAGATCGTGAAAGTCGGGCCCGGGGCTGTCCTTGGCTTTTGATTGATTTGTGATGAAGAGCCAAGGGTTGCTTGGGGTTTAGGGTCAAGGGCTTGGAGTTCGAGGATCGTCTTAGTGGGGGCCGTGGTCAAAGGGGGTATGCCTTCCGGGATGCAAGACGACATAAACAAGCGGACCTGCCCCGAAAAAGCCCGCACACGGCCAGCCTTACATGGACTGCATGCAGGATATTTGACAACTGCGGCGGTCCTGGACGGTAGCACATACAGCCATAAGAACCCTTGTAGCTTGAGAGCCTCAGGGGACCTTTGTTTGGGGACATGATGGAGGCATGAAAGGGCGCAGCAATTGGTAGTATGAGATCATACATTCAAGCAGACGGATCAAAGCTGGCGGAAGTTCTGGCCATCCAGACTTGAGCGCTCACCCGGACTCGCATTAGAAAACCTCCAGGGTCTGGAGACGCTAGCCAAGCAGCACTAACAACCAAAACATGACTCGCGATGAGTGGGATTATGGAATCTTCCTGATTTTTGAAGAGTCAGAATGCGCTTCGCTGGGCGTTGAAAAGGAAGCCTTTTCAGGATTTGGGGTTATGAGGCCTGGGCCCTCGCTGGCTCTCTTGAAATTATGAGAAATTCCATCTTTTCCTTCCCTAGACCCTACTTGGAGGTTTATGGGTCGTAGTAACTCATAACTGGGAGTTCTACAAAACTGACTTTCCCCCATAGTATGTTCTGAGGGCTACCCAGTTACAAGTCGGGCGATTCGCCCACTTGTACTTACCTCCAAGTGCCCTAGTCTGGGTTGCTGCTTAGGAACTTAATCTAAGTTATCATAGTATGGATACATAGAAAATAATGGGGTTCCTTATTATAGTGACTTGAACCAAGTTACTTGACAGCAACCCACTAGTAAGCAGTTCACAAGGCCAAGGGGCACTGTTGGTTGACCAGCCTCAACTGCGTAATGCTTGTTTTGGTGGTAGAACCTAGTAAGAAGAGATTTGTTGTCTAAAATACTATACCCAAAAAGAGGATATAATCTTCCATTCTATTGGATAACATAGTACCCCCTTATAATCTAATGTGCTAGGTTCCGTTTAGGGAGCTTGTATGAGCGATGTATTTGGGGGTCATATAGGATCTAGTGCGAGCCTAAATACGGAAGCAGAATCAAAGAGAACCAGGTATAAAGGAACATGGAAAATCACATGGTAGCCAGACGTTATCGGTAGAACAGGGTTTTGAGGCATCTTTTGCTATAGTTATATGAGGAGTCTTCTGTGGAAAATCTTAGTAAACACCACGTACAATGACAGCCCTTTCCCTCCAAGGTAATGGGTTCACAGGCCATTCTTATTGGGACTTGGAAGGTCTAGGCGGAGCTGCGTCAGGAGAGTTTCAGGCATCCTCGCATTCATCAGTACAACAGGAGCTTGAGTTTAGAATAGCTGTCGAAGACCATGCAGGCAAGTATGGCACGCCGTCATTCCAGCACGTGTCCGTGCCAATGCTAATGCAACGATTATCTGATGCGTAGAAAACCTGTAAACTCTCCGAAGCTCAAAACCTTTCCAGTTTGAGATCTCGCCCTAACCCCGAACCCCCGAATCGCCCAAAATGACCCAACTCCCTTCACGTCCCTAGCCTGGACCCTGACTCAGAAATTCCGGAACCTAATTCCCAGATCTAAAAACATGTCGACACATGTGTAGACAGCTGACAACCTTTGGCAACTCAATTCCCACCAAGCCCCAAACCCCTTGAATCCAAAATGGCCTTGGGCCATAGCCTAGAACCTTAGCCCTGAAGCAGCACCGGGTCTCCAAAAGAAGTTTTCAAGAAGCTTCAACGCTCCACTTTGATCCCCTGAGCTCTGCCAACGCAGGTGTAGAGAAACGCACTATACCATTTTCAGCACTTCCCAACTGCAGGGGCTGAAAATGTTAAGAAAAGGGCGTTGGGGTACATAATGCCATATGGGTATCTGGGAGGATATTGGCACATATTCTGATCGCTCTATCAGTCCGCGATTCAATGCCTGTGTCCATCTCCTTGGGGTTCGTAATGTCTACCCAAACCCTAAAAGTAAGTACATGAATAACCCTAACCCCACCAAAAACAGCCCAAAAGGCCATTATTTTGCATGCTGACATACTGTTGGGGTCCAGATAGGGCTTCATAGGGTCACAGTAGGGGCCCCCAAAGTCCCAGCTGCGGTTCCATGGAGCTCGCAGTCGGGGCGGCGGAGGAAAGGTCTCCTGGGCTTGCGACCGGTAGGCATAATAACAGGGTTGACGGTTTAGGGGTTTAGGGCTCAGAGTTATGATTCAGGGTTTAGGGTTTAAGGCTTGTTGCAGCCGCAGTATTGAGCAGCCATGGTGGTGGTCGTAGTAGTACTAGTAATAATCATAGTAACACTAGTAATCGCAATAGCAACAGTAATAGCAGCAACAGTGGAAAGGCTTGAACGCAACAACAAACAGAACTGTGGTAGCAAGGAATGAGAGGTAAAATCTCCAAAATGAATGTTCAGGGATTTAGGCATACAGCTCCCCAGGAAATGAGGCTACAAGTTTTCCAGGGCTTAGAATGCTCAAGGTGTTGAGGTCTACAGGGTGTATACAGGACTCAGGGTGCTACCCTTCACGTCCTATGGGGTATGATGGTAGGGTTGAGGTGGGCCTACAGAAACTTGTCTTCATGAGGTCCTCCCTACCAACGCCCAAAAACTCCCCAAATACTTGCCTCGACGACATATTTTCTCTCACCCGTCGCCTCCTCATGTGGAAATCACCCTGCATGACCCTGAACTGCAACAAACCGCGGCGCCTTTTTCAATCGGGAGTGCCCTTTTTGAGGGTCCCCATACTGAGGATTGTGATATTTCAGGCTTTGGAGGGAGTACCCCTATTTCTGGAACCTCACGATTGAAAAGAGATTCTCCACATAGTGTAGTTTAGGTGAATTTCAGGGAGAGCAAGTTCCGGAAAATTCATTATGTTGGTTGTTCGAATAGATTTAGGGATGTGGAAGGGCATCCTGCTTTCCGGAAACTCCCAAATTCAAATGCCTAGGAATGGTCCCGTCCATTGAGAACTGTCAGCCAAGTTTCTGGAGGAGGCGGCGGGTGCATCAGGCCTGAAGACGCAGGCTTGGACTAACCCTAAACACTACACCCCAAACCCTCAACCCTACTTGAGGGCCCGTAATGGACTGGGCGTTGCCAGGGAGACAGGGAGCGCAGTACGAAAATTCAATGCGGTCGGGTCCTCCCAATCTTAGCCCACGTAGCCCTAGGAAGAAAAGGGATCCTTTCTAC